TGCCTCTTGAGGGCGTTCGCAATGGTGGTGGTCACTGCGACAGAGGACACCAGAGCGTATAGCAGCATCTTGTGGGCATATAGCGAGGATACGATCGTACTCCGTGTGGTCCAGGGCATGACTACTACCGTGGAGAACGGTTGTGGACCTAGTAAAGTGCAACGTCACTGTAGTAGACCGCAGTGTGCACGTGATACTCGGCTGTACGTTCCCCGTCCTCGAGTCACGTCCTCACAGAAGTGAAGCTGCGACCGCGAAAACAGACGGTGCGGTCACGGCTGAGTCAGGACCCCGTCACAGCGTGACGGATCCGAAACGGGTACGGTGGGAACGAGCGGGCTGTCACCCCCAGCGACCTAAACGGCCATCGCGCGCAGGCGTGCCGACGCACAGACCCCCCGCGGGCAATCGGATTGCCTGTTCCCTCAGCCCCTCCCTGAGCCCTTCCATCCAGGCCTCCGATCGATGGCATCTGCAAGCGATGCGAGTAACAGTGAGGAGTTTCGCTGACTGGCGATGCCCTCCCTAACACCGTGGATGGAGTCCTCGGTGTACAGCAACACCATCGAGTCCATCGGCAAGGCCAGATCGAAGTACTCACCAAGACAGAGATGGGGACCGGCAGTGAAGAGACCGAGGGCGCCATCGCAGTGAAGAAAGACACTGGTGAGATCGCGACGGAGCAAGTATTTGGAGTGTGAGGTGAGAGGTAGGGGGTAGGGTCGACGGACAGAGGTTAAACGGATGGTCGTGAGTGGTCCTCGCTTATAAGCCCCTCGATCGACCTCTCATGAAGCCGGCATACGCTGCGTGTTATATCTTATGCTTCGATGTTAGGTGTCGAAGCCGGCGATGTGTCATACGACTTGGCTTTACATCGGCCATTTGTGGTGAGTATGCACTATGCTCAGCTGTCACGTCGCAGGATCGGAACGTCTTTTTTCACGAAAGAATGGTCCAGTGGGTGGGTCGCGGTGGTCGTGCTTTCCCTGCCAACTCAGGGTGTTCCTTCGAGGAGTCTCAGCGCTTCACGGAAAAAATACGGTCCTGGAGGAATCAAACTACGGTCCCTGCTGGAAAAAAATACGGTCCTGGGTGGGTTCTGAGTGCCGTTTGGTGTCGTACAAGACACTGTTTTGGTTACCGTCCTGTGTTCGTGTTACCGGCTTGTCTAGCTATGACTAACGATGATTGGAAATTCACTGCAGTATATAGGAGGCCATCAACTCTCGCAGCTTTCCTCGTTTCCTCCAACAAACCAACATGTCCGAGCGAGCCTTCGATAGCTATCCTGGACTGTGTCATGCTGTATCTCCTGTCCGAGGCATCGCCCCTCGAACTCCTTGATGTTTCGTACGACATGACCTCCGAACAACAAACTCTACCTGGTCCCGTCTGTGGCAGCGTCGACACCAACAACGAATTCTCTGCATTTCAAGCCACTGCTACTAGATGCATCGAAGGGGGTGACGGAGGGAACGGATGCAGAATATAAACGGTCTGTTTGTCCTGTTTGCTTTGCAAAACAAGATTACTCAAACAACTTAATCCCCATAGCCTCATGCAGCAGTGTCAGAGATTCCTCGTGGGCATGGGATGGTTGCGAGGTGATGAGTCGTTCTATTCCAACCAACCCCATCGTGATGCGCCGACATTCATCATCGCCTGGATTATGAATGCGTATCCCCCGTCTCTCCTGTTTATTATCACCGCCTCAAAACTGATGAAAATGATGTTGACTCTGGCAGGTGCGATTCAATTACACTGAAGGGCACGAGTAAACCGCCATCTGAGGAACGAGGCACTTATGGCCATGCGCAGAAGATGAGGGCAGCGATGACCTATGCCTTTGGGCGGTTACATGGGCTCGGTGATATGCCCTGGCATCAGTCAGAGGTACCGGGGAATTCCACCATGCTGGGGAACCCAAGTATGTCGGTACAGGTGTCATCTTACATGTGTGCCTTACGGCGCCGCAAGGTATGCGTCTTCATCTGGGCTATATATGGGTGGCGAACGGTCTCACCGATACCCCTCCCTTACACTTTGCAGGTCCAAGCTGGCGAAGTCGCCATCAGCGCACGTGCAATCACATCAGTTACGTTGATACCACTGGTGCGATGGTTCTGGGAAGCTCACTACTCATTCCCACAGGAGATACTCTCACAACTCTATCATTTCAACCATCTACCCGACAATTGGACCATCCGTCCATACCAGCCTGGCACTCGTCGACCTCGTGACCCCAACCATCATGGTCAAGATGACAGGTTGGCAGACTGGGGCGGTGCTCGGGCCCGTCGTCTCTTACAAGCTGCCTATACAATTGCGTTCATCTGCCTTCTCCGATTTGATGAAGTTTTGAAGATTCAAGTCCACGACATCAATTTCATGTATGATGCCGCCGGCACCACAACCGGCATGTCCATTACCCTCCCTTTCCGTAAAACTCACCAAACCGGAGGTGAGTGTGTGCGAGCCGTGCTGACAGCACGGCGAGGTTATCTTGGACTGATTGCACCGGCAGACATCAAACCATATTTCCTGTGGGCGTTCCATCAATCGGAAGCTCACCTCTGCGCTGTAAGGGCCATATCTGAGTGGATCATAGCATCCAACATCACGTCCGGTTACCTCTTCCGCAAAATTGCTTCTGGTGACCGTGTTGCAGAAGCCAACGTACCAATGGTGAGATAGAGTTCTGCACCTCAGGCTTGCCAAGCCAATCAGCTGGCTGATATGGTATCTGGTTCGAAAGTCGTCTGAACAGTTCCTGGAAATGTTCCGAAACAACTTGCTGGACCTCAACATCGATCCTGCAGCTTATGGCACCCACTCTTTTCGGCGGGGAGGCTGCCAGTACCTCCACATCGAACGACGATGGCCTCTGAGGAAAATTTGTGAATGGGGAGGTTGGAGTCAAGAATTCACTAACCTCACAATAGTTAAGTACCTCATCTCAGTCAACGATGATGCGATGGAGGCCCGCGAAGATTTTTTCAACCCAAATCGCCGTCCTGCACTCAAATGCCCACACTGTGGACGATCTTGTGCTTGTGCTTGACTAGCATCTCTCGTTTTGCGGGGGAATGATACTCCTTAATGACAGCTCCATGTCGGGTACCTGGTTCATTTGAATTGGCCAAGCGGTTCCCTGAGTTGTTTGCATTTTCGTGAGAAGGGCCACCCTCGAGGTCTTGTCATCATATCTTGTCCGTCTCCTCGCCATTCCTCTCGCTTTATGGTCCGTTCATTCCGCTCGCTGAACCCTATTTGGAGATACCTCATTCACCCAGTTCTGCGCAGTAGTCCTCAAGATATGCCCATTTTTTGTGACTGGAATGGCTACGAGGCAATTTGGCATGTAACTTGGGTCTGTATAGGAGTCCCCCACCGTCTTCGGGATTCTTGTATCGATTCCTCCAGCCCTCGTCACTCAGTGGTCTGTCCTTCTCCCCATGCTGGTATCTGGTGACGTTACATGCGTCGTATCCATATCCTGCCCGTTCCGGCATTCCACCTCTCACCCACTTTGTGGGTGGGACGTTCTTGGACAATTTCGCAGGTATCATCGCTTATGCTCTCCACCGCACCAAGCTCCATCCATCCATCACGTTTGCTGCGCTAGTCTTCAAAGACTAAAGGTGCGATTCCCCACCGCCCGTGGCTTGTCTGCCTTCCAACTTTTCATTTCCGCGTTTATGCTCACGAGCAAAGTTATTTGTGACGACACAGTGGGAGCTGAATGTGGATCCCTCGACGCTAAGTGAGTTCGAGAGTATGATATGGAAAGATTTCGCAGGGATGGGCCCTTTTCCAGCTTACATCTTGCCATCGATGAAGAAATCGACACCCCCTTCATCAGCAAACCCTTTTGCGCCTCTCGACCGTCATGCCCCCCGCCATCCATCCTCCACGGTCTGTGTACGTCCCGCCACCTTCGCATTCCACCGTCCCAATATCCCAGAGGCGTCCCTCTCTTAATCTACGTTGTCCACCTCCCCTGCTTCCTCCGCACCACCACCTATGCCCATCGGCATTGAAGAGCTGTCAGCCAAAATCATGTCTGCATCGTCTTCGCCAGGGTACTCCCCAATGGAGCATGTACACACCTTGTTGTCAAAGGCGAAGATGTTGACCTTCGCGTCACCCGCTGTCTGGTAAATAATGTCTAGCTCTCCACATTCATTTTGTCAATATTAGATCTCTTTCCATCCGTCTCGATGACAGCTGCAAATGTATTATATATGTCATTGTTCCCTCCCCGGTCTTGCAGGGTATGCTATTTAATGGACACGGTATCTCCATATCTATACCCTCTACTCTCCTCCTATGTACAATATGAAGAAATCAAAAGGGCTCTCTAACTAATTGTCAAACGTGGCGAAGAGGATAACGGGAAAGCTTACAACTCGAGGAGCCTATATTAACTATTACTTGTGTTTCAGCTTGCCGCATACTACATACTATACTGGTCACATAGCGGACTCAAAAGTGCAATAGGGGCTCACAGGCGTGTCATCACTGCGACCACTGCCATCATCATACAGGATTTAACAATAATGGGTGTTACAGGCCTTTGGCAGGTAAGTCTGGAGGCTGAATATTTGTACTACTTTACACACAAATTTGGCTTCGGTAGGCAGTCGCTCCAGCAGCAAAGAAATATTCTCTGCAAGAGCTCACGGTCAACCACATGTTTAATCCGGATGGCACAAAACGCTCTGAGCATCCGTTCAGGATTGGTGTTGATGCCAGGTATGTTCCCAGGTGCTCTGATATAATCTGCTAGTCTTGGACTTAAGTATCTTTACCCGGTCGGTCCAACTCTGAAAGCTTATGGATGGCCAGTTGCCAGCACTCGTTTCGACATGGACATGCACAGTGTGGGCAGAACCCGGAGTTGAGGACGCTCTTTTACAAGTTAGCACACCTGTATCGCACCCCAGCCGACGTCCTCTTTGTCTTCGACGGCCCGCAAAAGCCAGCAATCAAGCGGGGCAAGAAGGTTGTCACTATTCCACCATGGCTTACAACGTACTTCAAGGACTTTGCTAGTGCTTTCGGATTTCGGACACATGAGGTGAGGTTGAACCTATCAGACCAGTGACTGCCAGTGTCATCGTCATTTCTACAAATTTATTCTCTAGGCAGCAGGCGAGGCAGAGGCAGAGCTAGCTGCCCTCAATCAGCTAGGGGTTATTGATGCTGTCTGGACTGAGGATAGTGATGCGTTGGTATTTGGCGCTCTAACTGTGTTCCGAAGGCAGGTGACCAGATCGTGCTGAGCTCCTTCGAACTAACTTATTACATTGGTGTGTTAACAGTGACAACGACAACTGACAAGTCTGTTCTAATGTATTCCGCTAATGGTTTGGCACAAGAGTCCACTGTTGCATTGACAAAGGGCGGGCTACTGCTAATGGCCCTCTTCTGTGGTGGAGATTACGACGTAAGTTCATGCTTGCCCACTGGCCACTGACAGGCGCTGTGCAACTCACATTGGTCACATGATAGAATGGCCTCTCACGTTGTGGATGGAAGACAACTCGTGCGCTTGCTCAACATGGTGTTGGAGATGAGCTGCTACATGCGGCGACCACTACCGCGAATGAGGATGATCTTACCACATTCCTTGGACCTTGGGTCAAGCACGTCTGTGATCTCCTCACCGAGATGGGCTGTAAGAAACTTTCCGCCACCTTTCCAACCGACTTTCCCTCCCCTGCTGTTGTCCTGGCATATGTTAAGCCCTCGATCACGTTCACGTGTGCCGATCCTGGGCCTCCTCAAGCCTTGTCAATGCTGCTCAGAAAGCTGCAAGGAATTGACCTGGAACGACTGGCTTTCCTGTGCGAGTTCCGCTTTGGGTGGTCTAGAGGCGGACCACCCGTCCCAGTCCATGCCATTGAATCTTCTGGTACACTCGGAAAGCTGAAGAACCTGGTCTATGAGGGAGTTTGTATTCGCAATCTATGTGGTGTGAGTAGGCTATACCATGTCATAGTATGAATTTGAAGGCTGCCATTAATCGTCATCTCACCATTAATGCTAAATTGCTAAATTGTGATCTACAGATGGACAGAGCAGACTCGGACACTCTAGGTAACATATGCCCCCAGGGTCCATCTGAGTCTTCTTCCAAGTCATGTCCAGTGCAGCAGGGCTTCACGCTCGATTCAGTTCTCTGTATTCGCTCACAACGCAAAGATGCTGCCTCAGGACAGGTACTGGTACAGCACCGCTTGGAGATCGACACCACGCCATTAGCGCTCCCTGCAAAACATGGTGTTGCTCGAGTACTGAGCATGCCAGATGGTGTTCCCCAGGCTGGATTATTTGCAGATTCCGCACCCAGCACTCACCCAGCACTGAGCACTCACTGGGTCTGGATGCCAGATCCGGTGGTCAGGTTTGCACTCCCAGGTTTGCTCACAACTGGGCTGACGAAGCATGACACCGAGGAACCAAGCCTGTTCTGCACACCAAAGGCCGAGTCATGGCAAGGAGATGATTGAACTCACAGACAGCGATTCCGAGACTGAAAGAGAGATCATTGAACTTACAGATAGCAATTCCGAGACTGAGAGGAAGAATAGTAGCAGTGGTGGCCACACATTTGACTTGGGCGTCATTGAGCTCACAGATTCAGAATAAAAACAGACACGAAACCCATGATACAACGCACG